CAGAAAGCGCTGCCCTCGGGGGGGGCACTCTGCCACCCGCTCCCCCCGCCGCGGTTTGGATGGGGTTTGATTGCTTTCCGTGGTGAGGCAGGGGAGGAGGAGGAGGAGAAGGAAGAGGAAGGCTCCATCCCTCCTACCCTCCCAGGTCCCCCCCAGGCAAAAAGGCTCCCGTCCCCCCCAGGTCAGGCTCCGTGTTTTCGGGCAGGGCAGCAGCGATGGCCCCACTCAGCCTGTCCCAGCTGCTGGACGTCGCCATCGGGACGCCCGAGGTCGGGGCCGTCAACTTCACAGCACTGCACAGCCTGCTGCAGGCCATGCTTGGGCATCTGGGCCTGCAGGACCTGCCAGCCCAGGAGCTGGGGCACAGCCTGACCCCCCTCCTGGGGGGGGACCAGCCTGCCAAAGCACACCCCGGCCTGGAGAAGAAGGGAGACAGGACCGAGGCCTGGGCCCAGGGCACGGGACAGCAGCCCCAGGAGCCGGGGGAGCGGCTGCCTGGAAAGGAGCCGCTGCAGGGCGCCACAAGCAGCCCCCAGGTCGCCTCCGTGGCCGCCGACGTGGGGCAGATGAAGAAGAAGATTGAAGCGAACGAGAGTGGCATCTCCAAGGTAGAGGCTCTTCCCGGTGCCCTGGGTGCTCCCCCGTGAGACCTCCCCTCCTCCGGGGGTCCGTGCTGCTCTTGTGCTGCCCTTAGACCACAGTCTGGTTTAAGCCCAGGCTCACGGCGGCACGTGGGGTTTCACCATGGGAAAGGGATGGAGTTTTGGGGAGGAAGAGCTGAGGCTGAAATGTTGCTCTAGGTCCTCCCCACGCTGCCATCAGCGAGTCGTGGGTCTTACACAGCACCCAGTGCCCTTGGCTCTGCCAGCTGGAGGCTCAGCACCCCTGGAGGTCCGGCCCCACCACCCTCTCCATCCCTCCCTTCCCCGCTCCTGACCTACGGCTGGGTACTGCATCTGCTCCTTGGGCAGCTGAGAGGCTCCATCAGCACCTCGAGGGCCTCATCTCCCACCACAAGTCTCCTTGGCTCGCCCAAGGGCTAAACCCAGCACTGGTGGGGACCGAAGAGGGGCCTCATCCTGCACAGCACCAAGCTGCTCACAGCCGTGCTTTTCCCGAGCATCCTCGGTGGGAAGAAATAAGCTCAGGTTCAAGGAAAGAGCCACCCTCAGCACTGCAAGGCCAGATCCTGCCAGGGCTGGGACTCCTAGGGAGAAGGCAACAGGGAGGGTTTCCCTGGGGGGCTGAGCAGGGAGCACTCACTGTCTTTGGGGCAGGCCCCTGCTTGATTGCTCCCCGCTTCATTAGCAGCAGTTGCTGCTGCCCTCCCAGGCCAGGCTGCAGTTGAGTGGGTAGCAGCAGCTCTTTGCCCTTTGTATTGGCTTCAGCTGTCTTGCATGGAGCCTGGCACGGGCAGGCAGGGCTGGATCCGTCCCTGCTGACTCAGGTTGTGCAAGGGGCTCCCCTGGGGCAGGGCTCTCTGGGGAGCTGCTGTCCCTTCTTGGCTGTTGAAGATGTGATGAATGGGAAGAGCTGCCTGCAATGCCCTGTGCTGCCCACCCCCTCCACCCCCACCCCGTGCAGACCACAGAAGCGGTAAAGGTCCTAGTCCCCAGGGACCCTCCCCTGGGGCTCACCCCTGCCATCCCCTTCTCCTAGGCCATGGCTCTCTCCCAGGATCTCCTTGAGGAGATTGGCGGGATGAAGGCGGCGCAGTCCCGCATGGGAGAGGACATCCGGACGCTCCAGGAGACACTTGGCTTGGTGAGCGGCTGCCGGTGCCCCCCGGGAGGGAGCTGGGCCCTCGCCCCCTCCCTGCCCCTCACTGCGTCACCCTGCGCCCCTGGGTGTCACCCAGCGTGAAGGACACCAGGAGGGAAGAGCGGGAAGGGTGTCCCAAGGGGGGAGCTCAGCCCACCCACCCTAGAGCCCCCCACCCTCCACCTGCCAGCTCTGCTTGGGGAGGGCAGAAATGGGTGCCGCTGCCTGCAGGTCAGGCTGGTGGTAGAGGTAACTGCGTGCATCAACCAAAGTGATGCTAAGACACTTTTTAACTAAAAAAAAGTAACGTGGGTGCTGGGAAAGAGGGGAGATAAAGATCTACCCGTGCAATACAGCCACAGCCCGCAGGCACAGCCCTGCCCAGCATCCCTCTGTCTTGCACACAAGTTAATTTGCAGATTCTCCTTTTGAATCCTGCTCCCCTGACTGCTGTCCCTCTCCTCGCCCCACTCCAGGGGAACCTCCAGGATGCTGCTGGCCGGCTGCCGGGTCTCCATGACCAGACCACGTTGGACAATGATGTGGTATGGCCGCAAACGTGCCCAGATCCTGCTCCAGGACAGGAGGCAGCTGCATCCCCAGGGGACCAATGCACCCAGTCCTTCCATGCCAGGACATGGTCCCCAGCAGTGCTGGGCAGCGATGCTGGGGGGGGGGGCAGGCCTCCCGTGGATCCCACCCCACCCCCAGCTACGCAGCCGGGCTGACCCCTTGATCCCTTCCTTCCCCCAGAAAAAACTGAAGGAAAGGCTGAGCCTCTACCCAGCCCCGGAGGAGGTGAGCAACATGGTGCGTTGGGAGGTGCTGGAGGATTGCCTGGTGGGCAGCAAAGCAGGAGGAGGAGGAGGAGGAGGAGGAGGAGGAGGAGGAGGAGGAGGAGGAGGAGGAGGCCGAGGTCCGTCGGTGGTGAGTGCTGGGGCATCCCGGCTGCAGGAGCGGGACCGAGCGGGACCGCAGCCCCCAGCGCCTCCAGCCGCTGCACACCCCTGGGCCTCTGCAGAGGTTTGCTCAGCACTTCTCTTCCCTGTGGGTCCCTGCAGGAGGCAGGACCTGGCATAGACAGAGCCAGGGCAGCTCCTCGGCTGGCCTAACAGGCAGATCTCCTCCACCATCTGTGCCATTGACAGCCCACAACAACCCTTCCGTGGGGCAAGCAAGCACCCAAAATCCTTGGGGTGACCGCACAGCCCCATGTCCTTGCTTGACATTGGGCAGGACCGTGGTTGCCTGCCCTCCCAGTCTCTCTGGGGCTGGTGGGTGGGAGCAGGGGACAGCAGGGGGACCTTTTGGGGCAAACCCTGGCATTTTGCAGCATGAGATGGTTTCCAAATCCTTCCTGGGGCTGCTGCTCCTGAAACTCAGGCACAGCCTGTTGGGCTGGGAAGTGGGTCTGGTCCACCAGGTCTGGAGTACTGAATCCCATCGCTAGAGGAAAAAACAAGCCTTGCTGTTGTATCAGGTGGCATCAGTAGGGTGTTCGCTGATCCCCTGGATCGGCTGCTAAAATGACTCCGCAGGAGCTTGGGGGGTCTCCGTGGGGTGGGCAGCCTTTGCCTTTGGGCTCTTGTAGCTACTTGAGTTTGGCCCTGTGAGCCAGGGGGTTTGGGGACAGGGGCTGGGGACACAGCTGGGGGGACCTGGGTCTGCCATCACCACTGCATGGCTGCCTGTAAACCTGTTCCTCTTTCCTTCCTCTTCCCAGGAGGGCAGTGGGGGCCAGTCTGCCCCTGCCGAGCCCCACATTTCTGACTTGGACACCCCGCATGGGGGAAGCTCAGCACCAGGGCTGAAAGCACCAGGGACACAGCCTGTGCCCAGGACCAGCAAGGGGACTTCGGGGACACAGCCCAGCTCCCAGGGGATGCACACAGGGATGCAGAGAGCACCAGTGACCCCTGAGAATTGGGAAGGAACTCCCTCAGATCAGAGAAGGACTTCTGATACCAACGCCACCATCCTGGGGACACAGCCAGTGTCCCCCGGCACCAAGACCACAATCCCAGGGATGCAGCCAGGGTCCCCCGGCACCCAGACCACCACGCCAGGGACACAGCCAGGGACTCCCAGCACCCAGACCAGCATCCCGGGGATGCAGCCAGGGACTCCCAGCACCCAGACCACCATCCCAGGGATGCAGCCAGCACCTCCAGGCACCCCAGGAGGAGGAGCAGGCGTTCAGCCAAGCCCCCCTCGCATGGAGCCCAGCCTTTCTGGCACTGAGAAAGTCCCTACTGAAGCCACCCCCGGTGCTCTGGGGACACAGATGGATGCCACAAGCCCCAAGGAGGGAGACAAGGCTTTGCCCACCACACAGCTTGCCCAGGCAGGCCACCCGGCAGCGGGGACCCTCTCACTGACAGCCCAGGGGTTCGAGATCCCCCTTGATGGCTATCCCAGGGCCATGTCCCCTTCACAAGAGCCAGCTGTGCCCTGGGGGTCCTCAGGCTCCAGCAGTGCCTCCAGCCGCTACGAGGAGACAGTGGAGGCTCTCCGCCAGATCGGGCAGCTTGGCCACCTCTACACAGCCCTGAAGGAGCAGGTGGCCCAGCTGGAAGCCACCAAGTCAGACCATGCCGAGCTTGAGAAGCTGCGCCTGCTCTTCCCAGAGGGAGGTGGGAGAACTGGGGGGGCCGGCAGGGGAGTGTTTGGCATGGGACACCCTGGGTCGGGGGCTCATTGCACCCAGAGCCTGGTGCCGAGGGGTGAGACCCCCTTACCGACAGCGTGTCCCCTTGAACCACATCCCTCTAGACCAGGAGAACATTGCCAGCATCCTGGCTGACCTCCGGGGCCAGGTGTCCTCCCTGCAGGGCCTGGCCAGTGACCTGCAGGGCGAGAAAGGGAAGGTGAGCTGGTGGCAGTCCCCGAGGGGGCTGCAGGGATGCTGGGGGAGACTGTTGGGCAGGGAGGGGGCAACCGAAGGGCCCCCGTGCTGGGACAACACAGGGGGCCGTGTCCTGACTCTGCCACCACCGCTGTTCCCAGGTCAGGCAGCTGGAAGATGCACTTGGAAAGCTGGGGGTGGCTGGACCTGACTGGAAAGTGGATGGCAGCGACCAGATTACCCTGCAACTGAGGTAAAAGGATGGGAGAGGGTTTCTTACCCTGTGGGACTGCAAGGGAGCCCGGGGGGGCTGAAAGCATCCCGGTTTGGGGGGCAAGGGACACCCCCTGAGTGGTCCCGTGGAGGCTAAGCCTGCCTGTGCCTCTGTCTCACTGACCAGGTCCACGCTGCAGGAGATAAAGCAGGAGCTGAAGGAGCTGGGAGAGCAACAGGAGATGACCAAGGCCACGCTGGAGCAGTTGGTGACCAAGACGGCTGACCAGCTGCAGGAGCAGGTGAGGTCCGGGGGGAGCGCTCCCACCACCCACCAGCTCAGCAGTGTGGTCCTGGCAGGGGTCCCAGCCATTTCCCCTGGCTGGGTGAGGCCATCGAGCCTCCACGGTGCCCGGGCTTGTTACCTGCATCTGTCCCATCTCAGAGCCAATTCCTTCTCCCCTTTCTGCAGCTGGACGAGCTGAGGGCGATGGTGGAGGGCACAGGGCAGGAGCGGGAGGAGGCAGAGGCGCAGGCAGCGTGCCCCGTCTGCAGCACGGACATCAGCGTGCAGGTGGGGCAGCTTCTCCAGCGTTACGAGAAGCTCCAGGAGCTGGTGGACTCCTTCATGTCGCGGCAGGCGGTGGGCAAGGTGGTGAGGCAGCTGCCGGGAAGGAGCCAGGTAGGGAGATGCCTGCATGGGGGGCTTGGGAGGGGGTTGCTGGGACCCCCGTGCCTGGTTGTGCTTCACTGTAACACGGGGGAGCCCCTCCCTGCCCACCGAATCGGCTTTTACAATTCAGCAGCACGGAAGGAAATGAAAGCCTTGATGCACATGTCCTGCTAGCACTGACAACCCACAGCCACCGGCCGAGTAACCAGGGTCTGTCCCCGTGGGGTAGCCAGCCCCCACCTTGCCCAGCACCACCTTGTTGTCTTCCTCCCTGAAGCAGGATGAGGAGCTGCTGAAGCGCATCCAGGCCACCGTCATGCAGGTGCAAGGGGACTACGAGAAGCTCAGCTCCGTCACGGGGAACCTCCTGGATGACCGTCACCAGAAGCAGAAAGATATCGAGGTAGGTGGCTGAAACCCCCGCGGGGTCAGAGCATCCTCCAGGCAGACCCCAGGCTGGGATCCACAAGGGATTTGTCCCCCTGCCAACTGGCTCGCAGCCCTGTGGAGGTTCAAAGCACCTTTCCTGGAGGTTTTTGGGGTGGCAGTAGGGGGACCGGGGGGTGCTCAGCTGGCCGGGAGACAGCTCTGACCCTGCCATGGTGTTATGGGATGCTTTCTGTGTTGGAAGGCTCTGTTCCAGTCCCTGGAGAGGCTGGAGAAGGAGAAAGCAGACAAGGAGGACCTGGTGCTGAGAATCGGTGTGGTATGGCCTTGAGGGGCCCAGTGCCAGCTAAGGGGGTCCTGGGCAGGGTGACAACCAGCCATCGTCCCTTGGGGGCTCAGTGGCAGAACTGGCCTGGGAGAGGGGGGATTTCCAGACCAGCTGCAGGTCCCTCACCAGGTCCCTCTATCTCCCCTGAGGTCCCTTCAGCTGGTGGGACTAACCCCACAGGGGTGATGGGGTGAGCAGGGCCACGTAGCCACTTCTCCCTCTCCTCCCAACATGAGCTGGCCCTGCCCATCGTACCTCCGTTCTTTCCCCACCGCTCTCCTGCCTTTCCCTATTGCTAGAAAGCAGACAAAACCGCCCTGGCCGGCAAAGTCAGTCGCACCCAGTTTGACGCAAGCATGGAGCGGCTGAATGAGATGATCCAGGAGATGCTGAGCCAGGTGATGGGCCAGGAGCAGGGCTGGCACCAGGTCCAGCGACAGCTCAGTGAAGAGATGGACTCCAAGGTGAGGGGTGGCTCGTCCCTGCCACACAAAACTGGCACCTTCAGGGCTTAGCAGCCTAAGGCAACATCCCTCTGAGGATCCCCCACTCCTGGCTTTTCCCTGGGGGCCGCAATGTCCCATCCTGGGGCAGCTGGCTGAGGGTGCATGTCCGTCTGCAGCTGGACCGCCTGGAGCTGGGGCCTTTCCGGCAGCAGCTGGAGGAACACTGGAAGACCATCCTGGAGCAGCTCAAGGAGAAGGTGCCGCAGATGGAGGCTGACGATGCAGCTGGGATTAAGAAGTGAGTGCGATGGGGATGGCGATAGCTTTGGGGACAGCACTCGCCCCGTTCCCTCCGGCTGTCCCGGCCGGTGCCCACATGGTACCCTGGCATTGGACCAATTTAGCCAGCAAACTGCGGGGATGCTGACTAAGTAGCTGTGCCTTCTCCTCCCACCAGTAGCAGGTTCCCAACATTAAAGGACGTGCGAGGAGGGGGCACCTGCAGGATGGAGCCCTCCCAAATCAAAACTGGGGTGTGGGTCCAAAGGTTTTCTGGAGCAAGGGCGGGGGACGGCGGCTCGTCCCCCCCGGGCAGGGGTGCGACACACAGCGCCGCTGGAGCTGGGTTGTGACCTGCCCTCCTGGCAAGGCACCCGGGCGGAGGGTGGTAATTAGCGCTGATGAAGCAATGAAACCGGTGCAAGGGCTGGTTCGGATGGCAGGTGTGGGTGCCTGTGCCTTTCACCTTGCATCCCTGCCCACTCTGGGCAGCCACAGGCAGCTGCCGGTTTTGGAGGTACCAGTGGGGCTGAGGCAAGCATGTTGTGGTCCTTGGGCAGCTGTGACAAAGCTCATCCTCCAAAACGTGGGAATCCTACAGCCCCCAGGCCTGGCATTTGCTCCCAGGCTGGGAGCATCCCACCCCAGCAAGAGGTACAGGAACGCCCCCATTTTGTCCTTGCCAGCATCCCCAGTTCCCATGGGACTGAGGTGCTGTGGGTGCCCATGGGAATAGTTCCCACAGTGGTGGTGGGGTTTGGGTGTTCCACTCTGTGGATTTTCCGGAGCCTAATATGAGGTGGAGCTTTCTCCCAGGTGGGAGCCCACAAACAACCGCTCTCCCCCATCGTACCCTCTTTATTTTGTAACCAGCCAGCAGGCTGGGATCTTGCTGGGCTGGTGGGAGATAAACCAGGCTCAAAACCCTGTGGTTCCCCCCGCAAACACCGTAACTCACTACAGCGAAGTGCTCAGCACCTTACTGCTGCCTTCAAGCTGCCTGCCTGCGTGCAGGCAGGGCTGTGTCCCCCCCCCAGGAGCTCACCCAGCTCTTTTCTACCCCCCTGCAGGCAGCTGCTGGCCCATTTCCACTGCATCTCCTGCAACCGGCCCCTCAGCATGCTGGTGCCTGGCCCGTGAGTAGCACTTGGCGCTGGTGCATTGCGGGGGCTGCATGGGTGGGATGGGGGAGATGGGTGCTAGTGGTGCCCTGCTGTGCCAGGCATGGGGCTTGGGGTGTCTGCCTGGGGGATCTGACCCTGCTGAGCCTTCTCCATAGCCCTGTCCATCAGCGGGGGGACGGGGACCCCTCCCCGGGGGCAGTGGGCAGGGGGATGCCATGGGGTACAAGCCCGTGGGTTTCGGGGTGCTGCCCCAAGCCAGGGTGGGTCGTTTTTCCCCCGTCACCCACCCGTGGCCCCTGCCCTCCCCAGGCACATCGTGGCCATCCCGTCCATGCCACCGCTGGCCCCCCGCCTTGCTGGGCGTCCCCAGACCATCCTCGAGCTGGAGCAAACACAGCAGCACAGCCACAGGTAGGGGACACGGGGACCCATCCCTGGCCCCTGGGGTGCAGGGGGGCCCTGCCCTGGTGAGAGAGAGCTCTGCCCTGGGTGGGGGCAGAGGGGTCCGGGGGGGGCTGGGCAGGGCAGGGGAGCAGAGATGTGCCACGGAGGGTCCACTGTTCTTGCACCAGGTCTGTGGGGTTTTACAGCCTGTCCCTGCTGCCCTGTCTAGCCCTGTCTCAATGGCACTGAAGCCACATGTGATGAGTTGTGTCTGGTCTCAGCCTGACCTCAGGCTCGTTGGGTGCCTTCTGTGAAACAAGTTGCCGAAATTAAGCACTGCAGCTGGGACAGCCCGGTTTCTGCCTCCTGGTGTCCTTTGCATATGGTGCAGGAACCTACCGTGGCCATGACCAGCTCACCAGGGCTGTGGGGAAAGAGCAGATCCAGCACGGTTGGACAGGCATGGGTCTCCTGCAGCAGTCGGAGGAGAGCGCAGGGACAAACCCCACCAGGGAGCACCCCCCCGGCCCCCTCCCTGGCATAGTAGGGTGAAGCACGGGGTGCCATGGTACCAGGCGCTGAGCATCCCTGTGCCCTGTCCCACAGGGAGCAGGCGGCTGAGTGTGGGTACCCCAGCGTGCCACGGCACTGTGGGGGCCGACACACCCTCACCCACCCGCTGCAGCGCTGCCCGCGCCTCCAGCCTGGCACCCCGCGGCCGCTCCAGCCCCACACCCTGCTCCCCATCAAGGTAGGGATGACAAAGGTAGGGAGGGATATGGTGGGGGCAACTGAGGCTGGGAGGGTGATGCTGAGCATCTGGCGGGGGATCCGTGCCTCAGTTTCCCTGGGGAGAGCTGGGTGTGGGAGGGTTGCTTGGGCACGCTGAATTCAGCACCGTGTTTCAGCCAGCCTGCTCTCTCCTTCCTAGCACGATGAGATGGAGCTGTTGGGCCAGGACGGCCACATCTACAGGGGCCGGCAGGATGGTCAGCTGCCTGTGCTCATGGGCAAGGAGGGTACGGCTGGGGCACACTTGGGAAGGGGATCTGGCGGGGGTGAAGGGGACAGTGGGGTGGGCAGGGTGCCCATGGGGTGCCAGTTTTTCCCCCACCCGTGTTCCCCCTGGCTCCCCCCACCCCAGCTCCCTCTGGTTTCTCCTGCCAGGCTCCCCGAGGGACAAGCCCAAGCTGTCCCCACGGCAGTGGGATGCCTGGGATACCGGCCGCCTCCTCTCACGGCCCCAGAGCGCCGGGTCCTCGCTCAGCCAGCCGGGTATGGCCCTGTCAGGGCACCAGGGCAGGGAGAGGGCACCCTGCTGTCTCCCGGTGGGTGGGGGTGAGCAGGGGTCTGTGCCCCCAGTCGGGCAGGGTGGGATGGGGGTCCGGGGTGGGATGGGGAGGGGTGGAAGCAGGATGGAGGGGGAGGACTGGCAGATGGGGCAACTGGACCCCGTATTGGAGCCAGAGCGAGGTGGGGAGCTGGGGGGGGGCCTGGTCAGTGTGGGACAACAGCCTGTATGCTTCAGGGTGGGGGCCAGGACCCTGTTTCTGGGTGTCTCTGGCCAGGCAGGTGCCCCTGCTGCCTGCCCCATCCTGGGCTGGCAGAGCTGCCCACAGCCAGTGCCTGCCCCGTGGGCTGCAGGGGGGCTAACCCCTGCCCCTCGCGCCCAGGCACCACCGTTTCGCTGGAGCACAGGCCAGCCTCGTCCCACGGCCACCTCTCCCAGGCACCGGGGCTTTTCCCGCCCCTGCAGGATGGATCCAGCACCCCAGCAGCTGGGTGGGACCGGGGGTCCCCGGCCAAAGCCCCACCACCCCAGCTACCGAGCAGGCGAGCAAGTGGCTCCGGCCAGCAGCAATAAAGGGCGATGGGCAGCCAAGCGCCTGTGCGGCCTGAGTGGGGTGGCCCTGGGTCGGGATCTTCCCGTCATGCACAAGGAGGGGTCGGCAGCATCCCTCGTCCTGTGGCCGCGTATCACCGGAGGAGCTGAAAACAGCCCCTGTCCACCCTCCTCCTCCTGGGGTCTGTGTTGGCTGCGCTCCCCCCGACACCCTCTGGCCACCACGAGCCCCATTTGGTGCCAGTGACCCCTGCCAGGGGAGCTTGTGGCCCCAAAGGGGGCCTGGGGGAGCCGGGTGGTGCAGCAGGAGGATGATGATGCTCAGTTGCTGCTGAAGGCAGTGGGAAATGGGGACCTCAGTGGGAAGGGCGGCAGCAGGACGTGGCTTAATGCCAAAAGCAAATCCCACCCCAAGCCTGCTGGCTTGATATCGCTTATCGTGAGGGATGAGTGTCACTGGACTGGTTTCCTTATCTCCTAGTGGATAAACCCCCTTTGTCACCCCCTTGTCCCTCTTCCAATGCTGCCATGGATGGAAAGAGGAAGGCACCGACCCCAGTGCTGCCCAGCTCGGGGCAGCTGATGCTTCCCACCTCTGGAGCAAAGCACCATAACCCCTTCTCTGCCCCCAACCTTGGGAGAACACAGCCCTTCCTTTCCCTTTGCCACCCCCATGGCTTGGGGCTGCTTTTCCCCAGCCCCCTTCTGTCACCCATCCCCTCAGGGTGAATGCCCCACGGCGTGCTGAGACCTAGCACAAATTGTGTCACAAGTGGAGAGGCACCAGGCAGGGAAACCGCAGCCCCTGGAAGCATCCAGGGGAGCACCCCTCACCCCCATCATGGTGTGTCCCTGGGGGCTGTCCTGTGGAAATCCTGCTCTCCTGGTGGATCTTATCCTTAAACTTGGGGGGGGGCCCAAACATCCCCCTTACAGTGGCAGACCCCATCCCCACCCACCCTGCTCCTGTCCCCAGGCACCTTAGTCCTGAGGGAGCCACCCCCATGGGGATGTTTTCCCTGGTGGGCTCATTTTTTCAGGGGAAAAAATGGGTGCTAAAGACCCACTTTGGGGGTGCCCAGGTGGATCCAGCTGGATCTGAGGTCCCCCCAGTACCACCTCTAGTGGAATAACTGGGAGCACTCAGAGCAAACCAGTGGACACCAGCTAGAGTAGAGCCAGTGAAGTACCATCCTGCACCCATGGAGGGGGTCAGGTGTCAATGGGCTTAAAAACACCCCCACCCCAGGACTAACTGCATTTGCAGGATACAGCCCAGCTGGGGCTGACCCCTTTGGTGCTTCTTCTGTTCTGCCCCCCCAGCTCAGCCCCTCTCCCACTCCCTGTTCCGTTTGCTGCTGCTGGGACCCAGCTGCACCCTATAAATGCCCCCCCGCCCCTATAAACACAAGCACCCAGCCACACATCTTTTCTTGGGTGCTGCCTGTGCTGCTGGAGTGGGTGAGTAACCCCAGCTGGGGGCTTTTATCCTTGGAGGTTGTGCTGTGCTGGGGGGGCGTTCTCCATCCTGGGGGGGTCTCCCTGTCCCCTGGGGGATGCTTGGCACTTGTGCCTTGAATCTCCTGGCCATCGCTGGTATCTCCAGAGCTGCTGCATTCCTATTTTGGGGGGGGGTGTTTACCCCAGTTGTTGTGTGAGCGGTGTGGCAACACGGGCTGTGTTTTTATTCAATTTTAAATGTAGTTTGGATATCTAAGCACTAAACCAGGGACTGGCGTGTTGTTTGAAGTTATCAGAAGGGCGGTGGCACAGCGAGGGGCTTGGGAGGTCAGGGTCTGGGGTTGAGCAGTGCCAGGGCTTTGCCCATCCTATGGCCATCCCACGACTCAGGGGCTGGCAAGCCCCCATGTCCTCGGGCTAGTGGCCAATCTGCAGTGGGGGACACTCAAGAAGGCATCAACCCCAGCACAGGGTTTGCCTAAAAGCCTGGCAACCCTCAAGTATCGCAGGCAGGACTAGGTCTCCCTACAGTGCTGAGGCCTGGGAGGTTCATTGCATGTGTGGGTGATGGGGCTGGCAGGGGGAGACACGCTGCTGGGGGGGGGTTGCAAACCGCAGTATTTTGTGAGGGTGCAGGATGCGGTTTTGGCTGCACCCTGGTGCATGGGGGACCGAGCTATGCTGGCATGGCACACACCCCACCCCCCGGCTCCGGGGTCTCCCCTTCCCTTTGCCCCCCTCTTTGGGGACGGTGGCTTCTGCAGGCAGAGTCCAGGCAGCACATGGGACTCAGTGCAGCTTCCTGGGGCTGCTGACACCTCCTGGGGGGAACTTGTCCCCACTGGTGTTGCTGTGGCATGGGGGGGCTCGCCCCCATTCTTGGTGCCCTGCCAGGGATGTCCTCCCAGCAAAGAGAAAAGGCAGGGACAGCTGGTGTTAAAAAAGTGATTTTTTTTTTTTTTTTTTTTAATTTTTAAATTAATAAAAAACCTTCAACCTGTTTTTTTTGTTGTTTTTTCTTTTTTTTTTTTTGTTTGGTTGTGTTTTTTGTTTTTTTTTAAGCAAGATTGATTTGAAAACTAAAAAACCCCCCAGCTTCCCCCTCTCTGGGAAAGGGCCATGAACAGCAGTCACAGGGATGGGGGGGACATCACCTTGATAAATCCCCCTAGGCCCCAGGGGTGCCAAGGGAGGGAGGAGGGGGCAGGAGGAGGGTCCAGGGAGGGGTCTGTGCAAGAAGCCGGGCTGAATTTCAGAAGCCAGAGGAGAGGTGTGTTTGCTCTGGGCGCTGCAACCAGGAAATCCAGAGCTGGGGGGGGGCCCAGCAGCTCTGTGGCCATAATCCGGGGTGATGACAGCCCCCTCCATTTATTTTTTTGTTATTCCCCACCCCCTTTCCCTCTCCTGCCCTGCTGCAGGGATGCTGGGGAACAGGGAGAGGAGCCATAGGGAACACCCCCCCCACCTGCCTCTGCGCTGCTGCTCCTTCTCTCTGGATTTATATACATTAGATATATTTATATATTATAGTTATATATTTAAAAAAAAAAATAATGGGGGGAGAAAAGACCAGCTAGTGACTCTTGCAGAGGCTCTCATGGGCCAGTGTCCTCCCTGGCAGCATGTCCCCCCCCCTTAAAAATAATAATAAAACCTAGAAAATTATTCCAGTGCGTTTCTTGGGGAGCCCCTGCTCCCAACGCCCTGGCCCAGACCTCCCTTCCCCCCCAACCCCCATTTCCACCCCCCCCCCTCTGCTAACCCAGTCTTATCTCTGGCCGTCCATGGTGGCCACGGCTTTCTGTGGGGGGGCGGCAGGCGGAGGGGCAGGGGGCCAGGCAGGTTGTGGGTGGTGCAAGTGGTGGTGGAGGCCGTGGGCGGTGGGCGAGGAGGGGGGCAACCAGGCAGGCTGGTGGCTGGGGGGCGAGGAGGCCCAGAAGGGGCTGAAGCTCCCTGGGGGGGAGCAGGCCATGGAGGTGATGGGGCTGTTGCTGCTCTGCAGGCTCTCGGAGGTCCGCAGCTTGGAGAACATGGCCAGAGCGTCCGGGAAGTTGGGTGGCGTGGCCGGCGTGTTGCTGGGGGTGCACATCTGCGGGGGAGAGAAGAGGGTGGGTGTCAGATCAGTCACGGATGTTTTTGGGGGTCCCAACCTGCCTGCAGGAGCTGGACCCATCACTGGGGTTCCTGACTGCATCCCACACAAAGGACCCACCAGCCCCTGGGGATGCTCGGAGCCTCAGTCTGGCTGTTAGTGGGGTATTCAGCACTGCTGTGCAGCCCCCGAGCAGCTGGGTGGCTCCTCCCAAAGGTGTGGGGGCTGCCCGGGGAGGGTCTCCAGCCCATTCTGGGAAGGACATTTTGGACCATCCAGGGTGCTCGAAGCCCTGGGGTGAGGCAGGTTTGGGGAGGGGGATGCTGCTCTGATGCCATCTGCCCCACGGAAGGGAGCAGCATGGATGGGGCTGATGCGATGGGGTCCAGTCTGATGGGTGGGGAGGGGATTGATGTCCTACCTGGCCCTGCAGGACCCCCCACCCCCTTGCATCCTGTTAGGGCAGAGTGAAAGGCAGGCAGGGCCCCCCCGGGACGCGAGGCTGCGGCCAGGCCCTGCACAGTTCCTGGTATGGCCCCTGTCTTCTACGTAGCCGGCTAAATTTAGCACCCTCCCCTCCTCCTGCCCGGCCAGTGACGGATCTGGCCCTTTTTGCAGCCAATCTCACCAGCAGAGGAAAATCCAGTGGGGGGGGGGGGCCAGCCCCACGCTGGGGTTCAGGGGCTGGCAGCGCCCAGGGCCCCAGCTCAGCAAAGCACTTGCTATGGTCTGAGTATGGCAGGGTGCTAAAGCCCACCCAAGGGGATGTGCGGGGGGACACACTTCACCCCGGCAGTGGAAAATAGAGTGGGCCCCTGCCCCCTTTTTTTGTCTCCAGAGGGGGGGTCGCTGGCAAGGAGCAGTGTTGTTCCACAGGCTGCACTGAACATATGCACAGGGGGGTTAGAAATAGCCACGCTTTGTCCAGCCTGGTCCCTGAGGTGGGGGAACAGTCTTGGGGGGCAGTTCCCTCCCCGCTGGACCCACTGAAAGAGATTCCCATGAGGTTGCACTGGGGGCATGCACGGGGAAGGGGTACATGGGGTGCATGGGCAGGCGGGGGGTGCGGGCATGGGGAATGCACTGGGAAGGGATGCATAGACATGGAGGTGGTGCATGCACAGGGGCTTCACCCCTCTGGGTTAAATCTGTCCCAAATCCCTGTTGCTCTCATGGAGCCACAGCTTCTGTCGGAGCCCAGGGCCCAGCTGAGCGGCACATCTCGCTGCTTGCGAGGACGTTGAGCAGTGCGAAGGGGCTGGGGCAGCGTCTGCTGCCTTAGCAATGGGGGATCAGGGAGATGGTTCTGATGGGGAATAGCTGCTGCATCTCACCCTTCCCAGGGGTTATTCCGGGATTTGCCCTGGCTGGCACTCAGCAGCCCCAGCTGTTCCCCAGCACAAGCAAACACCTAAATCCCTCTTACAGGTTCCTCCCCATCCCAGCCACCCTTAGTGATCACCAGGATCAGAGCAGCAGCTGGGTGCTGTGGCCAAACTGCAGCCGGGGGGGGTCCCCAGTCAGACCCATTTGAAGATGGGGTGCTCCCCCAACCTCTCCCAGCCTGGGGAAAGTGGCAGCCAGCAGACATGTGCTGGCAGTGGGATAGATGAGCTCCCATTAGCAGGCAAGGCTGGTGCACCCCAAAAATGCAATCATGGCCAGGCTGGCATCGAGCGGGTTTGTGGCGAGCTGGGGACGTTCCTCCCTTGCCGCATGCAGACTTTGGGAGAACTCATTTCAGAGCTCACCTCAAAGTGCTGGTAAGCCAGCTTTTTTTTTAAAAAAAGCCTACAAATTTGGCAGTATCTGAAAAGATACTTGTTGCAAACAAAAATCCCAAACCCCAAAAAACTTCAAGTGACTGTGTTTTGAAAAAAACAACCAACACAGCCATACACACACATGCACGTGCCAACCACCAGCCCTGGACTGAGGCTGGATGCAATGCTGGAGCAGGGACACAGCTCTGAGCTTCTGGGGTGATGTCTGCCAGATTAATTTAAAAAAAAAAAAAAAAAAAAAGAATTGCCACGTAATTATTGCCTTCCTCCCTCCAATACTTTTTGTTAAGGAACTGCTTGGCTGTCAGAGGGTCAGTGCCACCGTGAGCTGCCACACCGACACACCAAACTGCTCCGGTGAGTCCCTTTCCTGCAGCCTGGACCCACGGGGGGTTTTGCCTGGTGCGGGGAGCCTCCCCTCAGTAGGGGCAAAGGTGACGTGCCGCCCCACGCCGTAATGCTGCTATGCTCACAGCTTTGTTCTCTGCCGCTTGAAAAAGAAATAGAAACCGCGACCGTAAACCCTGTCGTCTTGCCCTGGGCCCTGAGCCGTGCGGGGCATTTTAAGCTGCAGAAATCAGGATGTGGAGGGGGGTGGGAATAGCAGCAAAAAAAATGCCAAAAATGTGAGATGGGAGTATTTGGGGAGAGGGTAAAAGGTATTTTGTCACCACGTGGAGCACATGGGGTTAGGAAAACGCTGTGGGGAGTGGGAGAGCCGTCCAGCTCTGGACCCTCTGGGTGGGGGCAATGGGGCGGCCGTTGTGCTCAGGGTGGGAGGTGGGTCCCGCTCGGCCCCGGGGAGCACAGGGATGGGGAACGGGATGGGTTTCCTCGGAACTGCTTTGCATCTCGCTTCTGGCAGCCGCCCGACAGGAATCACCCCGATGAGGCTTTTGGTGTGAAAACACAGCGAGGCCTGGATCCGGCTGGCAGCTCCCGCCTGCTCTCCTGTTCCCCTCTCCCACCGGGAAAGGGTTTTTTTTCTGTGACATGACCCCTTGCAAGCTCCCCGACGTGGTGAGAAAATGTGCAGGGGGAGGAGGAATTAAAATAAAAGGGGTTTAAGTGGAAGCCGGCCGGCAAAATTACTTTCTCTGAGAGAGAGAGAGAGAGTGCTTGCTGCCGGCAATGCCGGGCTGGCTGGTGATTTTCTGACGGCATGAGAAAAGTGTGGGGGGGGGGGAAATAATAAAAAAACCGGCTTAGCCCAGATCCACTCCTTCCCCTGCACGCGGCACCGTTTAATTCCCTCAACAGGAAAAAAAAAAAAAGCCTAAAAATGAAAAAAAAAAAACAAAAACCCCAAACACAACAAAAACCACCCGGAGGGGAATAACTTCCTCCCCTCAGCCAAGGGGCCGTGCCCTCGGCCAAGGTCAAGCGGTGTTTGGGGAAATGGGGGGGGGCAGCAGGGGTGGCCCCCGGCCCAGGGAGCCCAACTTCCAGCGCGATGCTCGCAGAGACAAACTATTTCCTGGCAGACATTTTAGCTCGTGTTTACATTCGCCGGCTGCGTGTTCCTCCGGGCGCAGAGCAATATGGCTGGCAGGGGAGCTGACAGCTCCATGGCCTGGGGGGGGGCCGGGGGGGTGCGGACCCCCAG